AGGACCTTGCGACAAAGCAACGGTCATGAGTATGAGTCAGTGGCCAAGGATCTGAGTTCTTGTCACATGATCATGGGGATGCTACAAAGGTGGTAAGTGTGAAAAACGGTCATAAGTCACTTTTTTCAGTAATTTTGAACAGTCACTAAAACTAAATGAAATGTTGTAAGTTGAGGACTACCTGTATGTATTATGTAGACCTTGATACTATCCATTCTCTATACAAGTTGCAAAAAAAACCAAACCAACTTTAATTAGTGTTTCTTGTCCTTCTTCCTTGTAAATAAGTATTTGGGAGAAAATGTGAGGGAAAAAAGTCAATAAGAAACACCAATTTTCTTTTTGCTTCAGCTCTATTAATCATATAGGTGTGTGTGTGTGTGTTTGTATATATGTGTGTGTATATATACATATGTGTGTATGTATACGTACACACACATATATAATTTATATACATACATACATACATACATATATATATATATATATATATATATAAATATATAAATATATAAACTATTATATAACCCCAGGATTTCGTGTTCTTCCCAATATGAGTACAGCATTGTTCACATAAAGATACAGGAAGTCCTCAACTTATGACCACAATTGAGCTGCTAAGCGAGGCAGTTGTGAGTTTCCACCCCATTTTATGACCTTTCGTGTCACAGTTGTTGTTCAGTGAATCACTCCCGCTGTTAAGTGAGTAGCACGGTTGTTAAGTGAATCTGGCTTCCGCTTTGACTCCGCTCGTCGTAAGGTCCCGAAAGGGGATCACGTGACTTCGGGACACTGCAACCGTCCTCAATATGAGTCAGTGTCCGAGCGCCCGAATTTTGACCACGTAACCGTGGAGGGGAGGCTGCAACGGTCACGTGAAAAACGTTCGCGGATCCCTTTTTTCAGTGCCTTTGTGACTTCCAAGTGGTCCCTCAGAGCACCGTCGTTAAGTTGAGGACCCACCTGTACGGGGACCCAGCTCCTCCCTGGAATTCGACTATAGGGCTGCCTCTGTTTTCTGTTGTGGTTGAGTACGTGAAGTACGTTGTCGTCAAGACGGGAGTGGGTGCTTCTCCAAGGCCGTATATGTATATGTTGCCCGGCGCTATACATATGGATCGATGGCCCCGTTCATTCTAATTCCATGCACAAGCCACCTTTATAACCATCGTGGGTTGAGGACGTTTCACGCTTCATGACTGCATGTCTCACTTGCCTTCATTCGTGTTTCCACATGTACATAGAAACATACCAAAGCAGACATTCCTAGAGACATTACAGGACAACTTCATTGAGATGGACATTCTTACCTCTTCCCGACATGACGGTGCTTTCAGTGATGGGTATGTTGATGCTGCTTAACGCGATTCTTTTTATTTTATTTTTATTTCAGTTTTTTTAATCTCGCATGCCAAAAGCCAGCTCGCTCACCTCTTGGGATGCCTCTTCCCCCTAACTTTCTGTCTCGTTGTAATCCCATATTTTCCGCTCCCGTTTTTTTTCCCCGTGGAATGGAAACCGTGAGCTGCTTCCGTTGAAGGAACACAAAATCGTCCTGTACATATTAATGGCAGCCTCGTTAATATGCTAATTCATGCCATCTCATTGGCCCTCGTCCTAATTACCATTTCATACGTTGGCCGTTTTAATAGGATGGGCCTGGAGGTTTTATTTGGAATCGGTTTCGGATTTCGATCTCCTAATCGGATTCTTTCCAAATGTGTCGTCCGAATTTTAACAGGGGGGGAAACCCAATTTTCTCATCTTTGCTTATTTTATATCTATCTATCTATCTATCTATCTATCTATCTATCTATCTATCTATCTATCTATCTATCTATCTATCTATCTATCTATCTATCTCTATCAATAGATAGATAGATAGATAGATAGATAGATAGATAGATAGATAGATAGATAGATAGATAGATAGATAGATAGATAGATAGAGATATAATATATAGATATATAGATATAGATACATAGATATACATATAAGATAGATTAATATAGAGATAGATAGATAGATAGATAGATAGATAGATAGATAGATAGATAGATAGATAGATAGATAGATAGATAGATAGATAGATATAGAGATATAATATATAGATATATAGATATAGATACATAGATATACATATAAGATAGATAGATTAATATAGAGATAGATAGATAGATAGATAGATAGATAGATAGATAGATAGATAGATAGATAGATAGATAGATAGATAGAT